TTTTAGATAGATACTATTAACGCTTTCCTAAATAGCGATCTTAAAGAAGAAGTATACTACTAGTACCTACTAGGTTTAGGATAAAAGACTAAGGTCCTTCGCCTATATAAGGTAGTATATAGTCTTCGAATCGCTAATAAGAGATAGGAAGATAACGTAAAAGAGATACTTCTCTTACTAGGCTTTAAAAGCTATCCTAAAGACCCTACGCTTTATATAGATAATCGTATAGTTATTATAGTATTTATTAACGATTTCCTAGCCATATACTACTAGTTAGTAATTAATATCTTAATCCTATCACTAGTTAAATTAACTAATTAACCGTTAAACTATACTAGTAGAAGTATAGTTCGACCCTTTTCCCTACTATATAGACTAGACTAGATACTACTTTTACTAATTAGTTACTAGCTAAATCTCTTATACGCTATAATAAGAAGTACCTAGCTATTATCGACTACCTAATTTCCTACTTATATAGTATAAAAGACCTAGCTATCTACTTTAGTAGTAGCTAATTAGATTACTAGATCTTTACTACTTCGTCCGATATAAGCTTTACCGATAATCTTAATAGGAAGTTATTAGAAGGTTTTATCTTCTTATTATTTAGTAGTCTAATTAAGTAGAAATCTCGTAGATAAAAGACGATAACTATATCTATTATAGAAGCTAAATTACTAGCTATCTTATACGTAGCTAAGTAGCTATACTAGGTTAAACGCCTATTCGAATTTATCGAATTTAACACTAAATAGTAAGAAGTATTAAATTACGATAATAAGTAAACCGTTAACCTATTAAATCGCGAGAAATTAGTCTTTTAGACTAAACTTCGTCACGTAGATATTAACCGCCTATAGATTCGTTAAGAGATATAGGTAAAGCGCCTATCTATCTAATAGGTTAAAACCACCGATATACCCGTAGATAATCTTACTAAGTACCTACCTAGGTAGAAGTATAACGATTTTATTAAATAACTAGGTATAGAGATACTATCTCCTATCTAGTTATTCTATTTCTCTTTTCTCTTATTTAGTTCTTACTTTACTCTTATTCTACTCTTATATCGAGAACTAAGGGGGTATATTAATATATAGATATTATAGGGTTATATAACGAAGGATCTACTTATATAACCCCTCTCTATATCTAGATCTTCTCTATAAGATCTATTAGATTAATCCTTAACGATCTTATATTAAATTATATACTCGTATTAAATTACCTACCTAGGTAGGAGACTATCTAATACTCTAATACTCTTTAATTTCTTATATAATCTTTTACTATATTTCCTAACTAAATTAAATTAAGTTTATTATCCTTTATAATCTCTCTTCTAGATCAGTAGTACTATTCTATAATCGTGGTACTTCTCCTTTATAGAAGTACGTACGACCGATAGACTTATAACTATGTATTTAGATACTACGTTGAGTATTTTCTACCACGACTTTATGGTCACCGCCTAGAGTCCGACACTATCTTATATAAAATTCTAAAATATAACTATCGTTATTAGATTTTTTATCGTATATCTACTTATCTAGTAGAATAGATATATCCTTTAGTAAATACGGAACTAAAACTATTATATTAGAAGTAGTAATCTTTTCTAATTAGACCTTTTTAGCTTATAACTAATAGTCTATAAAATCGGATCTTATTACTTCCTTATAACTATTAAGGATCTTAATTATAGCTATATAAATACTCTTAGCTATACTATATACTACCCCTTTACTAATAATACTATTCTTAATCATAATTATTAAAGGGTCTAGGACTATTAGACCTTTTATAGGATACCTTATTATACTAGGACCTAAGTTAACTAGCTTTCTTTCTCTTACTAACTATCTCGGTTAAGGTTATTACTAGGTAAATTAAAGTAGTTCTAGTTCTAAGGGTTATTTAATAGATTTTAAATAGGATACTAGCTAGTTAACTTATTACGGAGAAGGTTATATAATTATAATTAGGTCTACTAAAGATTCTTCTTAAATAAAAGGATCATAACTTAGTATAGAAGAACTTCTTAGAAAAGTACCTAGTATATATAGTATTTAAATTAGTATCTTAGGTAGTCTACTTAGTATAACTAATAATAGTTAGGAAAAATCCTTAATATTAGGAATTAGTATATCCGGGTTTAGTGAACTTACTATACTTCTGAATAATCTTTTCGCTAGTGTATTTAGTAATAATCCTTAAAGCGTATATAGTTAAATTAGTACTAATTAAGGTTCTAGAACTAGTAGAATCCTTTAGAAAGGTAGATATTCGGGTATAAAAGAGATATCTAATATATTTTAATTTTTAGAGAAAGAAGATTAAGAAGATTATAAATCTTAAAATAATGAATTAGGTTATAATCTTATTATTAGTAATATAATTAGATATAGTCGTCTAAAGTAGTAAAGCCTTTAATTTCGCTTATTTTAGTATTATTAGTTATATTAATTTAGCTAGGTTTAGTATTACCGTTAACTAATTTATTAAATTAGATTTAATCCTCTAGTAATAATCGGTATATTTAGTAAAACTTCCTTATATACTATAATCTCTAGTACTATTATTTCTAGAATAACTTTATTAGGTATATTTAAATATAATTAGTCTTCCTTAGTTCTCTAAATTATTAATTAACGACGTTCGCGAGGTTTATAGATCTCTTCTATAATTAGTCATTTAACTAGTTTTAGTAAATAACGTATTAATAATAGTTCTTCCTAAAATACGATATCTTAGCGAAGGACGATCTATTTCTTTAAAGGATTATAGATTCTATAGATATAGCTATTATTACCCTCGTATCCTATAAGATAACTAATCTATATACGAGATACTATCTTTTTTTATCTTATATCCTTTACTCTTTAGGTATATATATATAGGCTTTAGAGTACTATACTCGTAGGAAACCTAGGTTAATTAGACTAGCCTTACGAAGATCTAGTATATTATTCTACTTTTCTATTAGAGATTTAGTTTATCTAGGTCGTCGAATTCGATTTAAAACGTAAACTATTACTATTATAGCTTCTAGCTAGAGAAAGGTAGGCGCTTCGGGTACCGAAATTATTAAAGTTCTTATACCCTAAATTATAATATAACCTAAGGATTCGGCTATACCGTTTTAGTTATATATCGCGGGTAATGAAATTATAACAAGGGTACCCTTTACCTTAATCTATTTAATAAAGCGTATAAAATCTCGGTTACTATCCGTACGAATTTTAATTAGCTAGTAATAGGTAATATTATAGATCTAAGTTACCTAATAGATTAAAACGTTAGAAGTATCGCTCTTTACCCTAATAGGAATTAACTAACGTCTACGAGTTACGTCGTTATATACTACTACTATATAGTCGGTACTATTAATTCCTATCGGTTTATATAGTTAAATATTTATATAAATAAATTTAAATAGTTATACGCTTCTAAGGGATATATAAGATAACGTAATTCCCGCCCGAGCGGATAACCCGGTCGAGCGGATAACTTCTTTAAAAATCGCGTCTTCCTATCTATTTACTAACTTTAACTATCTACTATACCACTAATTCGATCTAAATCGTAGTAAAAATCGACTAATTAGGAGGGTAAGATCTTATTAGCCCTTGATGATATCAAAAATAGCTAAATTAAATCTATCCACGTAGCTACTAAGCTATACAAAATTCCCTACGCTATACTCTATGCGTGCTCTTATGGCCGAGCGTCACGCGTTGATATACGCCTAAATAGCCATAAATTAACCTAATTAGAAGAGGATTCGCTTGTTAATTAGATTCTCTCTATGGATACGCGTGGAGTAGTCCCTAGACTATCTACTATAGGCCAGATGGCTAATATCCTACTGGCTACGCGCGGTAGCTACTCTCCGCCTACGGTCGGCAAGAATTAGCCATCAACCTTTATAAAACGACGCGAAGAGATTCGATCTCGCTTCTCTAGGCAATATGACTACTAGAGAGTACTAAACAAAGATCCGAAATCGATTTAGTAGTGGTTCGCGACCGTATAAAGTGTGATTGACGAGAACGGTATATAACTAGAGGATATTTACAACTTTGATGAGATAGGCTTTTCGATCCATATTCATGTTACTGGTCCATGGCCGCTATAATACTGTCTTTTCGCCTTGTCTCGCTATATTTGAGCGGACTTCACTCCTACATCCTCAGACCAAGAAGAAATGCTTAGTAGGAACGTTTTGCCGGTTGAAATCAACGAAAAAAAAAAAAAACTCAAACAGCTATGAATAATCAATGTTGAGTTGGTACATAGTTTGGCCAAAGTCCATCTTAAGGCCCTAATCGCTCGGTCATAGACATTCACCACAGATGACAATTTAGACTTTACCGAAAATCACAGCCGAAGCTCTCTAGATTTCTAAGCAAGATTCTTCCTGTAACCCCGCAAATACGTCAATGCGGGGCCCCAAACTACCAGGGGAGTCAATTGCAACCACTTATGCTCGGGTTACAGCTGATATACCTAGTGATGTATATTATTGCAAACGATATCTCTATAACCTCGTTAACAAAATCCTCTATGTATGCAACTTATACACCAGTAAAACCATCCGAATTCTTCAAAATCAAGAGTAATAATTAAAATGGACTATATCCATCCTCAGTTCAGCATAATTACGTAAAACTCCAATATCTTCAAGTAGAATCCTATGGTATTCTGTGAGCAGAATCGAAACAGGGTTGAAAAGTAGGATTGCATCCTAATTATTCAGCAGATTACCATTTCTCAAGCTAACATCGTCATAGTGAGATGCGGAGAATAATGGGAGAGTGTAAATGAAGCTGAGGTTGCGCTTCTGTATAACAAGGTCAAAAAATCAAATTTTGCAATATCACGGTGTCAACATGCTCTCTTACATCGGAACTCAAACATTTCCAATTGCATTAATCTCTAAGATCTTTTTTTCTCCTAACCATCATTACAAGTCGGCAAATGCCAGATAGTTTTTACAAAGCAGCAAGAATAGCGAGTAGTCCGGAGATACCAACTCCTGATAGCACAAGGTCAGCCTGAGCAGTCCGCGTAGCACCAGCTGATGTACTTGTAGCAACGGCTGATCCACCAGTCTTTGTAGCAGTTGTGGTTGTATAAATATTCGACACTGTTACCGTTGCGGATACCGTTGAAAGTGCGCTCTCAATAGAGGAAACAATAGCCGGCTCATTCGAAGTAATCGATGTAATTTCGGAGCTAAGTGATGATGCTTCCGATCCCGTCGCCGTGCTTACTTCACTTTCGATGGAGCTGATGAAAGAGGCTAGATCGGAAGAAATGCTGCTAAATTCCGTAGCTCCACTACCTGCAGCGCTTATCACTGCGCTCACAATAGAGCTGAAGTCGACTTGGGGATCACTTTGAGCAACAGATATGATGCCTAAGACATAAACCAGGTGTGCAACTTTCATTATGTGATAATTGCTCCGGAAACGTCTTGGATAGATAGGTACTGCGTTGCGAGTAATGTCTTATTTGTCTGTGAAGAGAAGTGTCGTGGTCCCGAATATTTTATACGATGATGGAACGCAGGGAAAAATAACGAACATATAAAAGGCATTTCGAGACAAGATAAGCACTAAGTGATGATCTCTATCAATCTTCTTGGGCCGTGTACTCCGTAGAACCCACCGTTCCACGGTCCAGGCCTTCGAGACACCGAGCCTATGACATCATCGAATTTTTCATGAACTACAGAAATCAGACGCTGCTAGGTCTCGACCATGTACAAATTCAGAGTCATGCCACAAGACAGAGTATCCGATGTACCGCAATATTGGCTAGATCCCAGAATGTACAGTTGCATAAGTAAAGTGGAGGCCTTCCTCGTCATGCGGACATCCAGCCATTGGGGAAATATGCAATCATGTGCTCTCCGAAGAAGGTATTATCAGAATATCATATAACATTTGTCGGCGAGGAATCTATATGTATGCTCTATGTATCGACATGTTCATACCTCAGATAGTTCTGGATCAGATAAGATACTGAGTATGACATATGAAGTACTAGAACATGCTAAGTCTCTAATCTAAGCCTTGGGCGTTGTAATATGAGGCTCTAATTATCACTATTACGGCATGTTTTGGGGGGTGAGCGGCTCGACAGTGTGAGCGGTTCGGCTATGAGATACGTCACCATCCACTTCAGCCAGAGATCCTTTATCATACTATCTGATAGCCTACACCGTCACTTCACAGCATTGTAATACCCAGCGAGCTTAGGGTGGGAAGGGAGCGTTTTACACAGTTCTTAGGATGAAGTCGACCCCACAGAATAGCATAAGGTGTTGTCGGAGCAAAGCTGTTCCGCTTGATTCCGACCGGGTGTGAATTACGGATGATTGTTCTTCCTACTTTCGAGACCACAATGTTGGCTAACGGTGGTTGAAGATAGCACAGTTAAGTACTGGAATGCCGTCGGGTCATCAGCTCCCGTACATCATGACATCATATATTAGTCATGACATCACAAAAGTTGTTTGAACTTCAGCGAAAGGCCTTATTTTAGGTGTTAGTTCCATTTGATAGAAACATTCTAATACTACAGTTCGAACGGAATAACACCGTTGGCACAGTATAAGCATATGCCTACTCCCCTGCATGTTTTGTCCGATATTGAAACTCCACTTCATGCAGCTGTCGATGCCGTCGGTACTTTCAACTGCAACAGTGTAGTAATACTGGTTGACATAATTTCTCAGAAAGTAACTAGTTTTATTTCTCCCTATACTCTAATATAGTATCATTCGCTGACGTATCGCCTCGTAGAAAGTCCAGGATTTGTTATGAACCTCACCAAAGTCACCAAGGGAAAACGACGGCTCCCCTCATGGCTCGATCATTTCAACAGTCAGGATCTGAAGGTATTGTTCCGCTGTTGGGCCGCCGCATGGGTTGCTGCATTGCTCATGTTCATCGGCCCTACGCTACACACAATTGGAACAGAGACATTCTTTACCTGCATTGTCCTCTTTATTCTTCCCCCCTCGGGTATTCTGCTTATCTTCATTCTTGGGGATCTTACTCTTCTTATTGGTATGAATCTTGCCTGGGCATGGGGAGTCATTGTCATGAAGGCAGCTCTAGCAGCTCGTTCCGCGTCAGAGACGCAGGCTCGAATAAACGCACTGCAACAGCAGGCGTCTATTCAGGCTAATGCCTCTGGCCAGAGTATTGCGAGCGAAACACATGTGCTCGTAACGAACGGGTTTATGCTAGATGCTCAAGTGACTGTGGTCTTTTTTGTCCTGATTTGTCTCTTCATCTATCTCATGGTAAGCAAAATATGGCCCTGGAGTCTTCTTAAATTGACAGTCAACTGAAAGCGTGACTCACTAGGCACGGCTGGGAGCAACTAACCCGAAATTTGTTCTACTGCAGATATACGCAATCATTATCTCAGATCTTTTTCTCACCCTTGGCCCATCCCAGCCCTCTTTCTACGGAACCCTCCCTATCTCTCTGATTAAACCAGCCGCCATTGGTGTCGGGCTTGGTGTTGCTGCATTCATACTATTTTTCCCCCAATCCACGACTCATGCCTTCTTTACTGCCTTTGAAGGGCTCCTTAAACTCGGAAAGCAGCCACTGATATTTACTATGTCCAGCCTAGACATTAATTCGGAAGAGCTGGATGTCCGGGTTCTACAAAAAGTGACAACAAAACTTGTCGCAGCACACAAAACAATGGAACTGGCGATTGCTTTCCTACCTCTGGACTGCTCTATAGGTCGCTGGAACGCCGACGATATCAAAAGTCTGAGATATCCAATACGTCAAACCATGATGTCGAGTTTATCACTACTTGAATACCATACTTCACGGCTCGTCGGACAAAAGAGGCTAAAAGACTTCCCAGTCACTCCTGGAGTAGAAAGCACACTAGATCATACAACGGAGCAGCTACCCGGCAAGATAGGTCGCTTTCAGTTGATGCAAAGTGCACAATTCGTCCAGGCACTGCGAAGTCCTGAGAGTGAAGCCATTCGGTCGGAGGCCGTTGAGGTGCTGCGACAGTCTATAACAGATATTCTCCCTGCCTGCCTAGATGCGATCACCGCCATCTCCGAGTGTATACGTGCACAAATGTCCGGAGGATGGATTTCTCGCTCCTTAGACGAAGAATATGACCGACTTTTATCGCGATGTCAGACATCACTAGAGGCACTTAAGTCGGCTCGTGCCGCATTCATGACTGAGACTACAGAGCGACTTCTCCAAATCCACGCAGACTTGTTTGACGAGACCGGCAATCTGCAGTATTTCAGCAACATTGCAATCCATCCCTTCCGAGGCGTCATGTTTGGGATGGTATTTGAGACACAGATACTGCTTGTGACTGATGCTTTGGTGAAACTTATGGAACGAATCATCCAGCTATGCCATGGACGGACGAGAGCGAAGTTTTGGTTCCCTAGTGGAATCAGATATGCAGCTGCGTGGGCTTTCAATGGAAATGTTGCAGCCCCAATTCCAAATCAATCGAATGTCGTGGATCCCAGCATTGTGGATGAGGCAGCTAAGGAATCCCAAAAACGCCTCCGAATCAGTCGTGGATATGGAGTCAAACGTCGAAGTGGACTGGCTAGATATATTATTGCCACAAAGCAGTGGTTGTTCAACCCCCATGGTTTATATGCTTTGAGAATGGTCATTCTTACAGTTGCCTTGGCGATTCCTGCAGTCATACCTTCTAGCGCAGGTTTCTACTATCGTGAGAAAGGTATCTGGGGCCTTATAATGGGTCAAACAACTTTGTTGGTCTACATGGCAGACTTTACCTTCTCCATGATCAGCCGAACCATCGGGACCGTTGTCGGAGGAGTTCTCGGACTGCTAATCTGGTATGTTGGTTCTGCTAATGGGCCAGGAAATACATATGGACTAGCTGCCATTTCGGCTGCTGTTCTAGCCTTTCTCATGTGGGGACGTTTGTTCTTCAACCCTGGTCTTCTGCAAGCCACGGTAATGGGCGCAGCAACATGCATTCTCATTGTCGGATACAGCTTTGATGACACGTAAGTATAGCTGATCTTCCTTTGTAAGCTCTAAATAGGCTCTGATATCACATTACCAGGCATATTGCGCAATATGGTAACCCAGGATTCGGCTATAACGTCTTCTGGCACCGCCTTGTCCTCGTATTAGTCGGCTTCGCAGCTGCTCTCATCGTTCAAGTATTGCCTTTTCCGCCATCTGCATCATACCATATATCCAAGACTTTATCGAATACTCTTCAGACCCTTTCAGATCACTACGCGCTTGTGCTCTCCTGCTGGAATCAATCGGACTGCAATATCGGTTTAGTTGCGGGGAAAGTCTCCATCGATGTCGATCAACTGCTCGCCTCGCTTGACGACTCCATTGCCATCTTACACCTCGAATTCTCCGGCTCGCCATTCAACAGTCAGAGCCTGGCTGAAATAAAATCAATATGTCAAGAGATGAACTGGGCCCTGGGGAGATTGCTTTTCCTCTCCGTTTCGTTACCGGTCGAGCTTCAAGACCGGTTCGCACACCTTACCGGCATTCTTGACCACCATCACATTGGAGATATCATGACTGTACTGAGCATGGTTGAGCAAGCGCTCAAAACCGGCAATGCTCCACCAGAGGTGCTTCCGACTCCTTTATTGAGCCGATGCCATGAATATTGGCAGAATAGTAGTTTGGAGATAATGCAGTACAGAGATCTGATCCGGGACAAAGATTATCGGAAGTTTTGTGTAGCGGTGAGCTCTTATTTAAAATTTCTGTCTGCAATTGATGATCTCGTGCTTGTTGTGAAGGGCAGTTTGGGAGAATGCCACATTATAAGCAAAGAGTCACCAGAGATCTTTTTGAGGGCCGATATGAGCATGGAGAATGGGTGAAGTGGTGGACTTGGGATATAGTAAGTCTTTTGCTTTGGTCTAGGATTGATTTTCCCACTAAGACGAAATCAAAGTACGGTAGTTTCTATAGGGGGTTTCTTAGAATAAGGAAAAAGCTTTGTCTGAATTCTCCCTCCTCCTCCCCTCCCTTTTCCCTTTTCAGCTGCGCTTCCCATGAAGTATTCAACCTTGTGAGTCCCATGAACCCCTGGTGTCTGAATAGGTATCTTTCAAGCGGGTATACATAGAAGCAGGATACTATAACGCAGTACGGTCTTGGATTTGCTATAGGTGTCTCCCGAAGACTCGTCCGTGAAAGGTTGCATGCTCGGAGTCTCCCTTTCTCTTTGGTTTAATGGCCTGAGTAGTCAGCCGTATACTGGGAGTCAGTCACCCAATAGAAACTTGATGTGTCCCACTTCTATCTCGGATATTTTACTGAGAAACAAATCTGGGAGGTAAAGTGGTGACGTCACGAGGCCGTTGCCCTTGTAGGAAGGCGTATCACCCTACTATGAATGAAGGACCGGGGAAGAGGTACTCCAGCGGCTATGACCTAGGTCACTTAATGTTAGATAATCATTTTCCAACCTTGCCTTGGAACACCGCCAACACTAGTCACATCATGTGGCCTCGGCCCAGTACATTAGATTATTACGTCGCTGGTCGTTCCCTACGTATGCGGTCGCCTGCGTGAGATGGTAAGTGGTCGAAAGATACGATGCCAGGGTCAATAGATCGTTATGGGGATGTTGCTGCCTCGATGACGAGGAATCGGTCAAGAACAAGGCGAGTCGTCACCTCACTTTCACATTTCGGGTCTTTCTCTAACGGTTAGCAGTCGCTGGTGGGCTGTCTCGACGGGGTTTCCTGTTCTTGCGGTATGACTGATATGCCTTGTTGAACCAAGTTAACACACCGCTGATGAACAGGGAGGGTGCCTTCTGCTCTATGGCTATTATGTTCAACATCTGCTCGCTAGTAAACGCATGGCAGCAGAGTGTCTCAGCGGATGGGTCAATAGTTGAGCTACAAACACCCGGCTGGTAACTGTTGCTTATAGTACCAGTTCCAGTTAGATATTAACGCGTTTTCAGGGCCGCTGGGCTTAAAGCAACTTCTTTGGCTCTATCTACAGCCGCTTATATGACATTCATACTTACGATGATTCTCCACGTCGACTCAATCACAGGATTCATGGTGACGGTAATCAGTTGGCTCGCCTCGGCTATTATCCTGTTCAGCCTCGTCGGCGTTGAGGTCCAACGGCATCGGCAATCCCAAGGCCACCAAACTTTCGTATATACTGAGAACTTTTTCGCCGGGATTATATCCGCCAGTCTCTATTTTCTGATAGCAGTCCTACTCTCAATCTACATGGTCAGCTTGAAAGTGTCCCCGGTCGGTTCAGCAGATAGGCGAAAGATTGAATGTACAAGCATCGTACTCCGGGTCATCACTTTTACCATTCTGCTTCTCGGCGGAGCCGCCGTATATAGCACCATTGAAGGCTGGCCGTTGATAACTGCTCTCTACTTTACTGATTACACCCTCCTGACCATCGGTCTTGGGAATATAGTGCCCCAGACTCATCTAGGGCGCAGTCTGCTGTTTCCTTATGCCGCTGCAGGGATCACGAGCTTAGGTTTTCTCATCACTGCTACGGCGTCCTTTACGGATCAGATGAGGGAGATGAAGCTCCGGTGGAAGATCGAGGAAGCTCGAAGGCAGATCAATAACGCAGATTCAGAGAAGACTGCCGATGGTCTCCTAGGAGCTGAACGAGCCCAATCACAAATCGCTCCAGTCAAAAGTTGTATCCTCAACGGTGAAGAAATTCTCATGATACATAAAGTCAAATCAACATTCTACAGAAGAAGGAGATGGGCCGAGCTCGGGTTCTTCTTAGCTGCATGGTTTGTCCTGTGGCTCGTCAGTGCCGGTGTTTTTTGCCGTTCCGAGAAGGAAAACAACTGGACCTATTTTGTGGCTCTGTATTTCACCTACACATCCCTCACGACGATCGGCTATGGGGATTATTTCCCCACAAGCAATTTTGCCAAGGTCTTTTTCATTTTCTGGTCATTACTGGCCATTCCAATTCTCACCAATCTGGTTACGGCCATAGGGCGTGTGCTTCATATATGGCTGTTGTTCTGCTCTGGCTGGATATGGCGGCATATTCTTCGCAGGGGGCGCCCCGAGGAGCATCATGACCACGAGTATGTCTGTCGCTCCTTGCATTCATCGGACTTGATTGCTACGAACAAATTCCCGAAACCGAAGCCACGAGATTCACGTCTTAATATTGAGAGTCAGGCCCGGGGACAATTAGAGACCAGGCAAGACTCGCTATCTGCGCAGGATACCTGTTATAAACGAAGTGACTTGGGCGAAGACGAACAACACCGGATTATACGCTGGAGAACTTCGACTTACTATCGGCTGTTGCTCTTAGAAGAGATTAGAAACCTCATTTCCTTGACGAGTGTTGAATCTCTTGAACATCAGGAAGAGCTCTGCTGCACATGGTCTAGGATCATCCCTCTGCTACAGGCCAAGGGCGATACTGGTAGCCTGTCTGAGGTCACGCCACTATTCTCATCTACGAAGTCTGAACATACGATGATGGGAATGCTGAAGAATGCCAAGAATAATCAATCGGAGAGGAATGCTGAGATCTCATGGATGCTAAATCTGCTAGTGGAGAAGCTTTCTTCAGACTTGCGGAAGGAGCTTTCTGAGACGATTGATTGAGCATCCATTTGTGACACTCGACTTGATTCTTCCTACAATCAGGGATGCGCGGGTCGAGGCCTTTCACCACGTATATGGCAGAGTATAGCATGTAGGTTATCCAACGCTTGTGCACTGGGATCAAGGTAAGTCATTGAACAAATTCCCACTCCGACTTGTTATCTGGACTTTCAGTCTCGTACGGAGCGAGGGTAGTAATAAGATTAATCTTAAATCCGATTCACACCACCAGGGATTTAATAAAACTCTTAAATAGCGGATCCTGGTTATCGTAGGAGAGAGTCGAAATTTGCGGGGAGATTACTAAGTAAACTTAAGGGGCACGAAGTATTTTCAGACGACGTAGACAAAAAGAAACATGACTAGACTGGGGTTCGATCCTAGGACCTTATCGGTGTTAACGACACGTGATGTGATAATTAGGGGGTATCGATGGAAAAGTTATGGTTGTGCATGCTCTTTTATCCCGATACCGTGGCATTCTCGCCCGTTACCGTGCTTTTTCTTTCCATCGTGGTATTTATACCCCCCTATCCACGGCGACCCACGCCTTACTGTATCGGGCCTCTACTTACTTTCTCTATATCCCTAGTCTAGCATAGTATACCGGCGGCTCCATCATAAGCCTACGACGTGGGTTCGCGAGATGGAGTATATAAAGAGGGGCCCTATAGCCTACTCGTCGGCTTTACCCTTTAATCACGTTCTTCGCTCACGCCTACTATAGCGATCATTAATCTTCTATGGCTCCCCTTAAGGGTAACGTCACGGGCCAGTGCCCGATATAGGTCACGTGTATCACGAGACCTTAGTATGTTGACGCGGAGAGCCTTCTAATTAGCTAATTAGCTACTTTTAACCTTATATAGGTAGTTAAGACGATTTAGTTAGTAGAGCTTATTATTTTAGCTTATCCTAATTACGTAGGATTTAATAATTCTTTAATTAGTTAGATGGGATAAAGGTAGTACGTAGTTTCACTATAGCTTTATATACTAATAGACTATTAACGATTTAACGTCCTTCTAGTATAAGAGAAGATCGAATACCCTATTTAAGAGATTTAATTAATCGAAGATATCGAAGGTAGTCTAATCTTAACGATTCGTATTTACTTAGGTAGTATCTTATAGATAGCTAGTTAATTAGATATAAGATCGGTAAGCCTAATTAGCTATTTAGAAAGATTAGATATATAGGTATTAATAGGTCTTCTAATTATATTAGATATCTGTCGGACTCTATGCGGTGACCATAAAGTCGTGGTTATACACACAAGACGATAGTGTGCATAAGGATTGGTAAATACTCAATATAGTGTCTGAATACACGGTTATGAGTCTATCGGTCGTGCGCACTTCTATGAAGGAGAAGTACCACGATTGTGGAAGAGTACCACTGATCTAGAAGAGAGATCAAAAGGAATGATAAACTTGATTCAATTTAACTAGGAAACATAGCAGTATTTATATCACAAGAAACATAGCAAAGGATCACATGATAAATCAACAGAATCAGAGTGTTGAGAGTCTCTTGCTTAGGTAGGCAATCATATGCGAGATCGTTGAGGATCAATCTGTTAGATCTTTATAGAAGAAGATCTATATGTAGAGAGGGGTTATATGAGTGGGTCCTTCGTCATGTGACCCCACAACATCCACATGTTGACAATATCTATAGTTTAATTAGTTCTTAGGGTAGGGTAGACGGAGTAGCTTAGTCCGGATCAGCGTATTTCTATAGATCGTGTATAATTATATAGTCTTTAACCGTAGTAATCTAAGGAACCTAGTATACGTAAGATTTTAATAGGTAGTTAAGCTAGGTAGCTTATAGAGTAGTTAAATCTATCGCTTCTATATAAGAAGTAAAGTAAGAGTGAGAGTAAAGTAAGAGAAGATTAATTAAATAGTTAGAGCAGAGACGTCGGGCTTATAACTATTAGACTTTGGGTAGTAACTATAAAGTCGTGATTATATATATAAGAAGATAGTATATATAAGGATAAATACTTAATATAGTATCTAAATATACGGTTATAAGTCTATCGGTCGTACGTACTTCTAAGAAGGAGAAGAAGTACCACGATTATAGAAGAGTACTACCGATCTAGAAGAGAGATTAAAAGGGATAATAAACTTAATTTAATATAACTAAGAAATATAGTAAAAGATTATATAAAATAATAAGAAAGTAGAGTGTTAAATAGTCTCCTACCTAGGTTAGGTAATTCAATACGAGTA